GGTATACACACATAAAGAAAAAAAAATTAATTAAAAAAGGAACTAAAGCACAGTTCGAAAACTTTATACAGAATATGTGAAGCCCTTTGCTCCAACCACTTTCTACCACAGCTCCAAAATAAGAAAACAGATCAAGCCTGGTGATGGTGGCTCATGTCTATAATCCCAACACTTGGAAGGCATGGGTGGATGTCAATGAGTTCAAAGCCAACCTGGTCTACAAAGCCTGGTATACAAAGTTCCAGGACAGCCAGGACTGTTACACAGAGAAACCTTATCAAAAGAATCTAAAAGAAAAGAAAAAGAAGGGAGGGGAGGGAAGGGGAGTGGAGAGGAAGGAAGGGGAGGGGAGGGGAGGGGAGGGGAGGGGAGGGGAGGGGAGAGGAGAGGGATCTATCTAATTAATACATTAAGTCTATTCTGTGTGATCCTTATGGGCATTTGAATTGATGGGCTTTACTCCAGTTCCAGCAGCAAGGCCCAACCAGGGCTCACACTGCAAGATGAGAGCCTCTCTCGGAGCTCCTACAACACTATTAACAGATGCAAGTGCTGAATGATTTCTCCACTTCTGCTGCCTTATTAGTGGCATTAGGAAATCCTGCATTTGAACAACATGCATCTGTTTTGTCACAGCTCACAAGCCAATTCTGTTTATTTGGGGGGTGAAAGGCAAGATTTCTCTGTGTGGCCTTGGCTGTCCTGTAACTTACTCTGTAGACCAGACTCCTCAAACTCACAAGAAACCCACCTGCCTCTACCTCCTGAGTGCTGGGATTAAAGGTGTGCAGCACTACCACCCATCTAGACAAGCCAACTCTTTCATGAAAACCTTTAAAAAAAAAAAGAGTTCTAGGGAGCTGGGCAATGGTGGCACACACCTTTAATTCCAGCACTCAGGAGGCAAAGGCAGGCAGATCTCTGTGGGTTCGAGACCAGCCTGGTCTACAGAGCTTGTTCCAGGACAGGCTCCAAAGCAACAGTGAAACCCTGTCTTGGGAAAAGAAAAAGAATTGTAGGGGCTGGAGAGATGGCTCAAAGGTTAAGAGCACTGGCTGTTCTTCCAAAGGACCCAGGTTCAGTTCCCAGCACCCAAATAATGGCTCACAACTGTCTGTGTAACTCCAGCTCTAGGGGATCCAATATCCTTACACAGACATACATACAGGCAAAATATTAAAATAAAAGTAAATTTATTTTTAAAAAAGAATTCTAATGCAATAGGATTCTAACATCATTACAGTTTTAGGTTGTTTTCTGTTTGATCTTCCCTCACAACATGAGAAATAAGTAGACAATGTTCTTCCTTTAATAATGTGAGAATTTTTGTTGTTGTTGTTTATTTTTATCTTATGTTGGTGTTTTGCCTACATGTGTATCTGTGTGAGGGTGTCAGAACCCCTGTAACTGAAGTTACAGACAGTTGTCAGCTGTCATGTGGGTGCTGGGAATTGAACCCAGGTCTCCTGGAAGAGTAGTCAGTGCTCTTAAACACTGAGCCATCTCTCCAGCCCCAAGGGAATGTTATATAGCTTGCCCAAAAACAAAAAGGCTAATGAGTAGCATAGACAAGACTTACTGGTCTATCTACTATCACGATAAAACAATTTTCATTTTTAGTGTATTATGAACTTAAAAGTACAAATACAGTACAAAAATTAAAATGAATGCATATTAGTATCAAAATCACAAAATTAAGATTAAAAACAGCAATGACATGTAGTGTCTTGAATTACTGAGAACCCTAGTTCAATCCAATATAGATGTAACCTCATACTTAATTCAAAATCAATGTTTCATTGATTATGAAATTACATAGAAAATCACCATAGGGGGTCTATAGAGATAGCTTGGAAATAGAGGCAATTGCAGCCAAACCTGACAACCTAAATTCCATCCCCAGAACCCACACGATGAATACAGAGAATTTACTCCTACAAGCTGTCCTCTGACCTACACATGTGCACCATGGCATGCACCCACATTCATACACACAAATAAACAGGTATAATTTCTAAAACTTAAAAACAAATTCACCATTTAAAATTACATAACTGGGTCATCTGTAAGAAACAACCAAGCCTATAGATCGCAAACTTCTCCCAAAACATTCTTAGTATTGTGTTTTCACACAAAATTATGACATTTCCTCTGAAATCCAACTTGATTTCAACATTAAGAAAATTAAAACAGCATAAGCATGTTTTTTTTTGCATATTTGCAACATGCACTCAATTTCCACAGCACTTTTGGGAAATGTATAAAATCCATAAGCTAAAAGCAAGACCCAAGACAGAATATTATTTCTGGAATTTTAGGGCAAGGGTTTTATTAACTTTTTAAATTTGTGTGTGTATGTATGTGTATTCATATGTGTGCCATTGCACACATGTAGAAGTCTGAAGACAACTTGGAGTTGTTTTCTCCTTCCATCACACAGGTCCAGCTGATCAAACTCAGGCCTAGCAGTAGTTGTCTTTACCCAGTGAGCCATCTCTCCTGCTGTTTTCATTTCTCAAGACAGGGTCTTATACTATGAAGCCCCAGCTGACGTGGCACTTCACTTGCTTAGTGGCCCACAATGATCTCAAACTCCAGGCAATTTTACCCTGAGTAGTTGTTTCTTTTAAATAAAAGAAGATGCACTTTCCTACATTAAAAAAAAATTAATGTGTAAAATTAGCCTAAATATGAGCTCAATAAATAAAGCAAACTCAAATCCAGAGAAATAATATCTCAACAGTAATTAATGACACAATGACATCATGATCCATGATCTGTCTGCCAATGAAGAATTTTCCATCAGTCTATACTACCTATAAATTCATTAAAATGCATTAATTCCTAATGTTTTAAAAACATTAAAACTCAAAAACAAAGCTGGGAAATGGTGGCACATGCCTTAGTCCCAGCACTGGGGAGGCAGGGACAGGAAGATCTCTGTGAGTTCTAGACCAACCCTGATCTCCAGAGCGAGTTCCAGGACAGGCTCCTAAAGCCACAGAGAAATCCTGTCTCAGAAAAATAAAATAAAAATAAAAAAGACTCAAAAACAGTTCACAGTCTACAGAAAACAGAAAAGTCAAAGTTGCAAAGAATGAAAACTCCCTCTGCAATGTAAGACATCAAGTAACTTTTAATAACTAATGCTTTTTCTCATACCATTACTATCACTGGCTTTAAAAAATCTGTAAAGAAAAGTCTGCTGATAACTGTGCTTAGTGGGGACATCAGGAAACAAAAGGCTTCTGGTCTTTACTGAACTGGGTGTACCTCTATAAAAATATTTCTCTATGATAGGACAGTACGAGGCCCTACACAACTGTAACAACACCTTCTTTCACCTCTTCCAAATTGTAACAATCCTCCACACACCCCCTCTAAAGTATGAATACATCCCTTGACAACTCAGAATTCCACTTTACCACAGAAAGTATAACCAGGGCTGTAAGCAGGTTTTCAAACTGACTTTACCACACCTCACAGCCTGGGGCAAATTTCAAGTACTTTTCACAATCCACAGTACACCTTCCAGGTTTGCAACCTTGGTCTCAAATGACTGTAAGGCGCCCTCCTACCCTCCACTTTACTAGAAACCTGAGTCAGATGGTTCCGGAGTAACTACAATGTTAGTATGTTAGAAAGCGCTTTCAGAACCCCGCTGTGGGCAGGAAACTGACTTCATGCCTCACTTCCTCTACTTTCTTCCAGGTTCTTCGGTGTATCTCTGTACATACCTTCAGTTTGATAGCATCTGATTTATTTGATAAAATGTATTCTATCACCTTGTAAACAAATTCACTAAGCTGCCCACAACTGCTCAGTTATCTAAATGTAAAAGTTGTAGAGCTGAAAGATGTCTTCATAGGCAATCAAGCTAACCTTCTAGAAGCTTCTAAATTCAGTCTAATAATATATTGCACAGCGTTTACCCAAAACAGTGTTTTCATTCTGTAAACTCTTCTACTTGCTCAAGTCATTGAAAACAAGTCAGTCTTTGGCCAGCAACTCATGTATTTATTTGGTCTCCAAGTAAAAACACAAGAGCATGTGTCTTTTGCTACACTGAAACATCGCAGAATCTCAAAGGGAAAGGCATCCTTCACATCGCCAAAACAAAATCAAACATTTTGATAAGAATCACCTTCTATAATTCAATAACCCTCTGACGGTTCACTGTTCTCATTATGAGAAACGAAGCTGAACCTCCTCCACTACAAGAGCATATGTACTTTTTAATACAAAAAAAAAAAAAAACTAAAATGTCAAAAAAAAAAAAAAACCCAAGTGCATGTCAAGACAGTAAGAATGTAAACTTCAGTCTGAAGACGACTGAACGTCGAGATCTAACCAGAGCCCGTGTGTAAAACTCTCAAGTGAGATAAACAGACTCCAGAGTGCCTATTACAAGGCGCAAACTCTACTCATGATTTTGAAAGAAGTTTTCCGACCCCAGCCAACAATATCATCTTGGGTCCTGAAATGCAATCTATCCAGCACAATTTCAACCCAAGAAATAACACTAGTCTTTTGCTGAGCCATTTAACCGATGCTCCCTGAGCTCTTTCAACCACCCCTGACCCTCCATTCCCCTTCAAGTGCTACCAGGTCAGGAGGATGCCCTGCTGCAGTCAGGCTGAGGCCCGCACGGCTCGCCCGTGGGTTCCAACAGCACGACCTCCGGCCAGGGCCTCAGGCCACACGCTCACCTCCCGGGGGCCCGGAAGCGTTTTCCAGGGCGCTCCAGGGGCAGCGTCCCACATTCTGAGCGCTACCGGCCGCCAGGTTCGGGATGGCCGCTCAGCTCGGCGACCCCGCCTCCCCCGCGTCTCCCCGGCAGGGCCTCTGAGCGCCACTCGGCGCGCTTGCCCCGGCGGCCGCGGCCACCGCCGCCCGCCGCCCGCCGCCTCCTCAGCCGGTGACAGCCGCCGCGCCCGGCCGAGGCCCGCCCCTCCTCCAGCACCTCCTCGCAACCGGAGCCGGGGGGGTGGGCTTCTTACCAGGTGGCAGGACATGGCGAGGCCCGCCACTGCACGGCCTCCTCCGCCACCCCACGAGCCTGCCAGCCAGGGCCGGCGTGGGGCAGCGCCTGAGCCGCTGGAGCGTCTCCGCCGGCTACTCCGCTGCCGCCGCCGCCTCCTCACAACCACAACAACATGGCGGCAGCGGCCACACAGAGCGCGCTCCCGAGACCGATCGGAGCTGCTAGCGGGGGCGCGCGCGCACGCTCCGGCACGCTGCCGGCGGTCGGGGGTGGGAAGGAGTGAGCTGGCTGTCACGGGATGGACGAGGGCGGAGCCTGCGAGTTGGTCACGCCCCAGGATGTGGGCGGGGCTGCAGGTTGGCAGAAAGTGGCTGCCCAGAAGCGTCCGGAGAAGTCAGGCGAAAAGGACTAGAAAAATGGAAAATGAATAGATGAACCGTTACAAATTAAGAAAAAGAAAACCAAGGACTAGAAAGATTTTTTTCGGGCGGCTTCTTTTGCTAGCTTAGTAGCTCCAGACAGTACTTTGACTTACTTTACTTTGTATTAATACAGAACAGTAGTGATATTATCCCAGCAACTATAGTCAATATAAAACTAACTTTTTTTTTTTTTCGAGACAGGGTTTCTCTGTGGTTTTGGAGCCTATCCTGGAACTAGCTCTTGTAGACCAGGCTCGTCTCGAACTCACAGAAATCCACCTGCCTCTGCCTCCCGAGTGCTGGGATTAAGAGTGTGCACCACCAACGCCCGGCTATAAAACTAACTTAATACAGTGCGTGTCGATATACTATGCTACAGGTTATGCTTACAATACAAATTCAAACTGCCTCAACCTCAGCTCCTAATAAAATTATCAGTGCTGCGGGGCAGTGGTGGTGCATGCCTTTAATCCCAGCACTCGGGAGGCAGAGGCAGGTGAGTTCGAAGCCAGCCTGGTCTACAGAGTGAGTTCCAGGACCGCCAGGACTGTTTCACAGAGAAACCTTGTCTCCAAAACAAAACAAAACAAAAAAAAATCTCAGTGCTCAAACAAAAGCCAAAAAAAAGCAACAACAACAAAACCGCTCAAACTGTCCTGCAGAAGAATGAATCCCCAAAGTCCAACACTGCAATAAGTTGGCCCATTGTAGATCCAATAACCCTTTCACAGGAGCCTCATATCAGATATTCTGCACATTAGATATTTACATTACGATTCATAATAGTAGCAAAATTACAGTTAAGAAGTAGTAAGGAAAATAATTCTATGGCTGGGGGGTCACCACAACATGAGGAACAGTATTAAAGGATGGCAACATTAGGAGTTGAGAACCATTGCCTTAGGTTCTAATCTCTCATTCCCACAGATGAGTCCTTGACTTGTCCAGAAAACAAGTAAATGAAATTTATCCCTGTGTTTGTTACATTGTTTTTCTTTTTCCACAGCACTCTGCAATTTTTTGTTTCTTTGTATTCAACATCATTGCCTTCTCTCCCACTGGAATTTAAGAACAATTAGGGAGGGGGGAAAGGATGCGGTCTTATTTGCCAGTAGGTCTCCAGCAACTAGAATTGAGAAACACAATAGCCAGACAAATCTCCTAATTAACTAAGGAATAACAGGTATAAATATTTTATCTAGAACTTTAGTGGGTAGAGCTATCTCCACTTTACAAATGAATAAAGTAAAACCCAGAATAAGATGAACTTAACTAAAAATTAAAACCCAGACCCAGCCAATAACAAAATTATGCTATCACTCACTAGGTTGTGATACTGACTACATCACAAAATCTCAAGGAAGGCATTACATCTCAGTTCAGAGTTAGGAAAGACTTCCCCTTACTCTCCAAGAAACTGATGTCTTCTTCCTCTTCCACACAGCTGGTTGTGTCTCAGTTTTTACCTTCACAAAAAAACCCAAGACAAATTTAAAACACAATGATTATATCTCTTGGACCTAAAAATTAAAAAAAAAGATAGTGATAGGAATAAATTCTACCCTTTCATTTATATACCACTGTCCTGATTTCCCCTTCTGTATATTACCATGGCCTTTGAGGGACAGGAAAGAAATAGGGCATAAAACAGACAAATGACATGATATATGGGGTAATAAATGGACTGCCACCAATGGGTGGCCACTGATCAGATTGAAACTAGCACTTAACTGCCAGGACAATCCCCAGTTGGATAGTCAGCTGAGAATAAAACAGCTCTAGATAGACAGTTCAGCCACTCCACCAGTACCAAAGTACCCACAATCCACATGGAAAGAGCAAACAGGTTGGCATATCACTTTCATCTCTTTATAAAGAATAGCAATTTGTTTTTTGATCTTGAGGAGGGAAAGGAATCCTTGACTGGATCCCTAACCAGGATTTGAAACATTTGGAGGAATTTTCCTGTACCCATGAATTCACAGTATGCATTCAATCTTTCAGTGTGCATTAAGCTATGTGAGCATTTTCTGTGTAAATCTAATGTCAGATTCACCTCAAGCTTTTGTTGTACCAGAGATGTGAAGGCTGGAGTTTGCACTCAAGCATTCTGACTTGGAAGGACAACTGTGAACATCATACTACACTCCCTCTCCACTATTACTAATCTATAATGTAGATGTTAGTAAAGTGTCTCTAAATACAAAAGAGCAAACTGTTGCATGGCCTTGAAAATTTACTTCTAGGGGGCTGGGGTTGTAGAGTGTGTGCTTAGCATGCACCAGGCCCTGGAGTTGATTTCTCTTACCACAAAACAAATATCAAGGACAAGGACCTAAGAAGACAAAACAAAGAGATCTAAGCTGAGTGTAATGATTGAAATTTGAATCCTGGTACTTACCTACACTTGTTTCTCATTTCCTTTTCCTGTGCTCCAGTTTGTTGGTCAGTCATGTGGTCATTGTCACTACTGTGCTTATCACACAGAGGTATGTAACAGTTCTCTGATGTAATGGATCTGAAAGGTTTTTAGATTTGTTTATTTTATGTGTATGGATATTTTGCCTGCATAAATGTCTGTCTGTGCACCATCTGTGTGTCTGGTGCCCATGAAGGCACTAGATAAGTGCATCAAATCCCCTGGAAATGGAGTGACAAATGGTTGTGAGAAACTGTGCAGATCCTGGGAACCAAACCCAGGTCTTCTCCAAGAGCAGCCAGTGCCACTGAGCCATCTCTCTAGGACCAAGATTTGAGGATGTTTTATATCTTACAAAGAAACTAAATCAATGGATAAGATCCTTGCAAGCAGAAGACAAAACCCAAAGGAGAGTCACGGGAAGAGAGGAAAAGCAAGCCAGCTCAGCAGAGCACTTCTCACAACCCTACTTTTCACATAAGGGGCTTCTTCTCCCCACCTGACTTCCTTTCCCCCTTCCTGCTATTCTTCACTTCAGTCTCTCCCAGCTTCTTGAAGACTCTTTGAATTAGCCCAAATGGGAAGAAAGGCTGACTGGAGGAGGGTGGAGGCTTCCCAGAGTCTCAAAGTGCCCCTGGGATTCCCTCAACCCCTACAAATGCAGACGTCCCAACACTAGATCCAGCTGTTTATTGATAAAGCTATTCATTTCTGAGAAGCTTTGTGTGACGTAGCCTCCAATCATCACAGACTTCAGTAGCATCCTCTCTACCTACCAATCCAGCTCACCAACCCAGTAATTAAGTTTCCAGCTGCTGAAAAAACAGCTTGTCCAAAGAAGGCAGAAACTGAAATAAAGTCATGTTTCCCCGATTCAAAATCTTTCAGATGTGAACTCAGGACAAGAGAGCAAAGTTTTGGAGCTTCCAAGTAATTTTACATAGCCTCCAGCCCAAGTTACATGAACTACATCATAGTCACTCATATCATAGTGCCATTTCAAGAGCTTAACAGTGGGTTGAAGTATCATTTAGTAGCTTTGTTTCTGGGCCTTTAAGATTTTTTGAGATTTTATATGATTACATCATTTCCCCTTCCCTTTTCTTCCTCCACACTCTCCCATGTACCACCATTCCCCCTTGCAAATTCAGGGTTTCTTTTTCATTAATTGTTGTAAGATATATATATCAGGGCCTATTTTTAACAAGCAAGAAAGGAACCTTTCTATATTCAAGAAAAGATCACAGTGACATTAGTGATATTAATGAGAATATAATTACTTTATCCAAAATCATGAAAGTGGTAATTTTTAAAAATAATATAAAGTATATGCCATTATTAGAATCTCTCCTTTTATTCTGTATCCAGTAGCATGATTCTAGAACAAGGCAAGAATAGCACTGTGTGTATGCTTAAATTAAAATTTCCAGTAAGATAAAATATTCCCCAAGATTTTTCAGACAGCACATGATACCCCTACTAACTGAAATAGATCAGTCAACTTCAGTCCTAATTCAATGTGGAACAATGGATTTCAAATTGTGGTTCACAAGTTCTTCAGGTAACTTGAAATTCTCAAGGGTTAGAACTCTTTTCATAATAACACTAATTAATTATTTATCTTTTTAAATAAATTTAAATTAGAAACAATTTTATTTTACATATCAATCCCAGTTCCCTCTCCCTCCCAACCTCCTATGCCCCTCACCAACACCCGCCATTCCATCCCCATCCACTGCCCAGGGAGGGTGAGGCCTGCCATGAGGGATCATCAAAGTCTGTCAAGTCATTTGGAACATTGCCTAGTATCTAGGCTAAAAGAGTATCCCTTCATGGGGAATGGGCTCCCAAAATCCATTGGTGTACTAGGGGTAAATGCTAGTTCCACTGCCAGAAGCCCTAAAGACTGCCCAGACCTCCTAGCTGACACCCACGTGCACTCCTCCCTTTCTACAACTGGGTTCCAGGAGTTCGGCTCCGTGTTCAGTTTTATGTGTATTGGGTTAAAGGCATCAGATCCCCTGGAAGCAGAGTTACAGACAACTGTGAGCTGCCATGTGGGTGCTAAGAATTCAACCAGGGTTCTCTGGAAGAGCAGCCAGTGCTCTTAACTGCTGAGCTATCTCTCCAGTCTCCCTTAATTACTTGTCTTTTTATCATGTTTATATTTATGCCGATGGCACAAAAGGACTCCGGTTTAATTGCTGGTACTTTGTCACAATCAAAGCGATGGTACACTGTGTTCTAATAGCCATTGTATTCGTCACAAAATGGGCTGGTACTAAACAATTGTCAATTTCACTTTAAGAATGTCCTTTAAGAAGCAGTTTTTAAAAAAAAGTGAATTTCATTGGTTCCAGGTCTTTGATGACAAGCCTTTTGCTTTCCAGTATGATGAAATAGAAACTCTGTATAAAGCACTTTTTTCAAAGTTTATTGAGTTGAAATTCACAGAACAGTT